AGGAAAAGAGCTACAAAAAAAAATGTTTTAAGTCTAAAAAACGCAAGTGAAGTCTGCAGCTGCCCCAAACACAAGGTTTTATTAACCCTCATAAAGATCTGTCTCTTTTCTGCATTGCCAGGACTGGAACAGGTGGGGGTTGCTGCAGGCTAGGACAAGGATTACTGGAACAGTAGTTTATACTGTGTCTGGGACAAGATTAGCAAAGGTAGTAATGATCTTTCCTTCCTGTTATTTGAAGGTTCTCGCCCAGAATAGGGGCAGAAAATCTAAAGACCGTCCCCCAGAGAAGCCAAAGAAAAAATCTGAAGGCACTGTCTTCACGGAGGAAGACTTCCGGAAGTTTGAGCGAGAATACTTTGGACGAGCTGGAGCAGTGTGATGAGAACTCTTGCAACTCTGGGCTTTTCACTGTGCAGAGTATGGGACTGAGCCTGTTCTGTTTGGGTGGAAGATGGAGGGTGTTTGAAGCTACCTTTTGCCAGCAAATGTTGAGATGTCACATCTGCTGCTAGGCTTTACATAACTAACACATTTTATACAGCTGCTAGCAGGGGATGGGATGCTGTAGACTCAAATGCAGGTAGGGAGATCATGTTGTAAGGGTGCATCATGTTTCCTCTATTGCCCACTTCCGGACAGCACCTGAGTCATGTTCTCTTGGAGCAGAGCAGATTCTTCACTCAAGCCAGAAGCAGACTGGGCTTCTCTGAGACAAGATGGATAGCAGGATACTATTTGGCAAACCCAGTCTAAAGTGTCAGGTCTCAACAGGAGATGATTTAGAGCTGAATTGTGGAGCACTTGGGACAAATGGTCAGAAAAAGGAGGAGGATGTTCTAGGAAGGGGGAGATGTGAGGACTAGTCAAACATCTGTTTAGGTTATGATCTCTGAGGCAAAGACCTTGACTTTCTTCTCCTTGTATAATGCCATGTCTGTATGGAGCTTGATCAGTAGTCACTATGTCTAGAGAGCATATTTGCTTACCTCTGTGTTGGAATGATTATTCCAAAAGGGTGTGGTTGGCAAAGGTTAAATGGATCAATCAAGCACAATTTTTTTAGGCTGTGTGAAAGTCTCTATGATCAATATTAAAATATATGTATGCTCCTTCAGACTGCTGCACATGGAAATGAAATAACCCTTCTGTACTGGACTCCTCCCAACCTTCCTTCCTACAAATCTCCTTTTTCAGTCATCATATGTCTGGTAGTTTACGCTCAAGCCCATTAAATCAAGGTACTAAACATTGGGGATTGTGTTGCTGCATAGTACAGTTGGCCCTAATATCAATCCGTGTGTCAGCTTCTCTGTCCCAGGCCTGCTAGCTGTGGCTATTTGTCACTTCCCCTGAAAATTCCCATCCCTCCCTGCCTTGCAAACACCAGCTGGCAAAGGCAGCATATTATTGTTGAGAATTTTTGGTTAGTGATTATGATACTGAGTCGAAAAAGGCAATTTTCTCTTACCCCAAAAAAAGCGCTAAATTCTTTAGGTGTTGCAATACGTAGTTTGGCCAGCAGAGGGAAGGTTGATAATTCAGAGACATTCATTCATTGAGATAAGCCTATACAATGTATTTCTGGAGGGTTAGCTACTACTTTATTGCCAGCTGCTGTATCCCCAGAATGCAAGACCCTTGTTCTCCACCTGAAAAAAAAAAAAAAAGTTAAATGAATAAGGACAACAAAAAAAGCAGCCCTAAGTCTAATTTATGTGAATCATTGCTTCCTTGTCAAATAGCCTGGTTAAAATGAAATGTCTAATGTCTGTATGGGAGAGCAGTTCCATATACTCTCCTCTTTTCATTCTCCTTGCAGTCCTCAAACTTATTGTTCCTCCTCTTTCCTCACTGGTGTGTTCTGTGTCTCACTTGCCAGCAATATGTAATAACTAGATGGGAGGAGGCGTTTTCTCAGAAATGGAAGTTTTGGGGTGCCAAGATATTACTAAAATCTGTGGTAATGGCAAAATAGTTAATTCTGAGCATTAATGTTCCTTAGCTTGTATGTTTCTGGGAACTTGTGTAAGAGGATGTGAGGGGAATTCTCAATTACTCATTTCCTTCTCTCTTATGCCAAAAACAGACTAGAGCAGTGAAAGGTCCAGTTCCCTTATTTTGTATGTGTTCCTGGTGCAGAAACAGTAACGCATCCAGTGCTGAGTGGATTCTCTTTTTTAAACTATACTTTGTTTGTTTCAAGAAATTGGCCAGTCAGTTTAAAGAGCCATTTTTATTTTGTCATCTTGTTTGAAATAAACTTTTCATTAATATGTATATTGACATGGTAATTACGGTGTTTACTGTATGAAGATTGGTTGAATAGGGGCTGGAAGGCAAAACAAGCAGGAGGTGAAAACTGCTTGAAATAAGCCATTCCTTTGTAGGGCTGAGCCACCTGGTGGAATACAACTACTGTAGTATGGCCTGAAAGAAGTGGCATTGTCTCAAGTTTGGATGAAAGGGTTGGGTCAAGGGTCTTAATTAGGCCTGGGCAGACCTCTGCCTCTCAACACCGCAAAGCAGAGTTGTTAAGGAACTGTGCCTAAGTGGTTATTTTTGAGGACCTTATATTTCCTTTCCCACTAACTTGCAAGACTAGTTTTGTCCAGAAGTCTGAGAATGAAGAACAAAACGTCTTGGCAGTTTAAAAAAGGCTTCCTCGGAAAAGAGGAAGTGGTCATGGGGGGGGACACCAGACCAACAGAAGAACCTGCTTGGGAGGCTGAAGAACCAAAGGTGCTGAATGCAGTCAAACTGTTGGTATGGGGGGCACCAGACCAACAGAAGAACCTACTTGGGAGGCTGAAGAACCAAAGGTGCTGAATGCAGTCAAACTGTTGGTAAGCATATGCGATCCACTCCTAGACCAGGCTCTGGAAGAGAACTGTAGACTTGTCTGTTGGTAAGCATATGTGATCCAGGCTCTGGAAGAGAACTGTAGACTTGTTCCTCAGGGGGAACTCATGAGGTTTTACACCCAGGAGTGCACTCAGACCAAGCCAGGAACAACACAGAGGTGCAGTTAGCCCTGCCCAGGGGGAACTCATGAGGTTTTACACCTAGGAGTGCACTCAGACCAAACCAGAAACAACACAGAGGTGCAGTTAGCCCTGCAGTATGAGACATGCCAAGAACAGTTTTAATATGTATGTACACAGTCCAACTAATTATGCTATTTTCTCCTTATTAGTTGATTTCATTCCCACAAGTGCAAAGGCCTCTCCAGACTTGCTTGTCCATCAAGTGGACATAAGGCTTGAGCAAAACAGGTTAATGTTGATTTCATTCCCAAAAGTGCAAAGGCCTCTCCAGATTTGCTTGTCCATCAAGTGGACATAAGGCTTGAGCAAAACAGGTTAGTGAGGCCTCTTCTCTGTCTGCAGGAGCCACAGTTCTCTGTGAATAACCTTGAGAGAACAGCATTTTGGAGTAAGGAATGTGGAGCCACTGGAGACTTCATTGTATTAATTTGTATAAAATGTGCAAATGCTGGTGAATGACCATTGTGGGGCCCTGAGAAACAGGCAGGTTTATAATAGCCTGTTGCTTCACTAGGCAATAGAGAAGTAAAATTCCATTTAATTGGTTAGCCAGTTTAATTGTTAAGAAAGCAGGTTTATAATAGCCTATTGCTTCACTAGGCAATAGAGAAGTAAAATTCCATTTAATTGGTTAGCCAGTTTAATTGGTTAACTGGTTAAACATCACATTTAAGGGGGCTGCTCTGGGCAATTGCAGCAGTCCCTGGCTTTGATGCCCCCCCACCCCCCAAGCCTGCTGCAGAGCTGGAGCAGTCCCCTAAGGCGGCAGGGGGGGAGCTGCTCCAGACCCCACCAGTTAACTGGAAGTGGTAAGTATTACCCATTAAGAGTGGTGCTTACCAGTTAACCTTTCACATCCCTACTCAGCAATCAACTACAGGCAAAGCTGAGCTCAAGAAATAAGAAAGATTGTGTGCAAGGAATGGCCTGGATGCTTTTACTTTAAGTAGCTCCTATTTCCATTTGGCTTCCTGTGACAGAAGCAGAAGAGAAAGGCTCTTAACATAAAACCTAAAGCTCTGCAGCCTGGAGAAGCTGACCCTGTCTGGGTATGCCCCCCTTTGTTCTAGCTGTGACCTACCACATTTGACTGCTTTCTACTGCTGTGGGGTGAGTGCTTGGTTAGAGGAGCTCACTGAGGCTGGACTCCTGGTTCTGGTCCCAGCTCTGCAACACAGGCTGGGTATGCTGTAGCAGAAAATAAAGATAACTAAAATTAAAGGGTTGCCATCTTGCATATAACTTCCCCACCCACAGGGAGGAGAAGGGCAGCAACTTTAATATAAACGTACATAATATGCATGAGTCTGGCAGTGGTTTACATCTGGCAGGAATTACAGGGCAAAGCAATCCCTGGGTGTTTAGTATTGGGCTAGCCTATCATGAATCAGATCCATAATACCAGGGTGTGGCTTGCACTCCAACATGAATGGAAAGCAAACTGGTAGAGTCAATCCTGACAGGCACAAGCAACAGTGGAATGCCTAGGCAACTGGTAATTCTTTTCAAGTTAAATTCATTGTCTTTTACTTTGTCTTGTATTATGAGATAGGGAGGGGAAGAAGCACCTAATTTAACTTTTCTATGCCATTAATTACTCAGACTGCAGTCCTGGAACTATCTAGCTCAGAGAGGACATACAGACAGTCCCCGGGTTACGTACAAGATAGGGACTATAGGTTTGTTCTTAAGTTGAATTTCTATGTAAGTCGGAACTGGCTCCAGATTCAGCTGCTGCCACTGAAACTGACCAGGGGCTGACTACAGGAAG